TATTTCCTTTGCTTAGACGGGCACACATTTTCACCGCGTTGTGTCTGCACAGATGGTCTCGTCGTGACGCGTTACCGAAAGCGCTATCTGTGAAGAGGGCGCAGAGGATGGAAGGCGTGTTCTCTGTTAATAAGTTAGATGAATGGGAATTGGTCACAACGGGATCAATGACAGCGGTTTAGGGCTGGCTGTGTTCTGAGGCATTCGAAGAAACCAGAGTTGCAAGAAGAAACCACCGTCTCTACTCTCTAAATTTCCAAAGTTTTGCGGGAGACCCGTTATTCCAGGAGAGGAGAGGAGATATAAATCCTGAATCCGGAGGGTTTTTCATTGCTCTTGTATTTTAACACTGACAACGACGTGTCACCTGTGTTTTGATTGGTGCCTAGATTTCCACAGTCCCTTGGAAGCTGCAGACGATCGGGAAGAAAAGTTATATAACCAGGGGAAAAAACGAAGAAGGTTTAGCTTGTATCAAGTCACTTTCTAATACTTGTCTGATGTCACAGGAGCTAAACATCTTGACTTTTTACTAAGTATTTCAATTCGTGCTTAGCTATTTGGGGCCACAAGATTTTTTTTTTCAATCATGACAAGAGGTTTAACTTCATGAAAGTGACATAAAACAGATTGGCAGCATGCGTGGAAATGTGCGCCACACGTGGACATTAGAACAGGGGCTGATCGCGGCCTCGGCTTGACGGAGGGACACTTCTCTCGGAAGGACTGACCCATTCAGGGAACGTTCCGTCGCCACTCAGCTTCGACATCCGGACTCATAACTCACTGGACCGCCAGCCCTGAGAGCAGGGACAGAGACGAGGCCAGAAGCAGTAGGTGCCGGCAAGATGGTGAGTCATCGGCCAGCCAACAACGGAAGACATGAGTGGAACAGGAGATGAAAAATCAAGCGGACACCGGCTCTGCCGTGAGACGGGATGCCCGCAGAACCGTGGCAAGGCAGGCGAGTCGAGGGCACATGACTTCTGCACCACCAGGAGCGTGTCGGATTGGGCATCAGATGTTCATCGTTTCTTCCCAGAAAGACCCAGCGGAGCAGAGTGGCTGCTGCCCCAGCCACAGGACCGAGCATGCCCGCCGGTTTTCATTATACGAGGAAGGACCGGGGTGGACCGTTCAGAGGAGGGGCCTCTGCCCTGAAGGCCCACCTGGTCCTCAGCCGGGCTCCTGGGCATCGCTGCGTGCCGGGCACATCGCCACGGTGGACGGGATGAATTACTAAGACCAGGAGTGCACGTTTTTCAGAAGAACGTGCCAAGGCCGGGAGTTAGGAACATGCCACGTCCGTGGGGCACGTCACAAAGTGGTGTTGAAAATGGGGTGCTTGTTTCCTTGCCTCGTCTCGCCCCACGTCAACTGAAAGCGGGGCACACGGGGTTCGGTCTTCACTGTCTGATGCTCGCCGCCCAGGGGTGCTGGGGGGTGTCCGTCACCTCGACCGTGATGATGGTGTCACCGGTGTTCGCCTGTGTCCAAACTCATCGAACTGTACACGTTACCTACGTGCTGTTCCTCGTATACCGGCCACACGTGTCGCATGCCAGCAGGGACCCGCTGGGCCCGCCTTCTCTGTTGGCGACAGAACCTGCAGAATTGTCACGCCGTAGACCCCCTGGGAAAACAGTTCATTCCTCTCATTTCAACGTCAAGACATCTCATGTTTTCCAGCTTCTTTTTAGAGGTTTTATTTTCTTCCTTTAGGTTTTTTCCCCTCCCTCCATCCCTGACGTCTCACGCCGATAATTTTCCTTTTTTTTCTCTCTTTATCATCCGGTTTCCAAATCTCACTTTCTGTTCCCTGCCCGGTCTTTTCCCCGTGAATCTTGCCCAGTGTTTTTAGCCCCTTCACGTCGGGTGAACCCGTCCTAGCTCCTTCACCGTACATTTGAGCCTTGGCGCCCTTGATCCTGGCACGGAAGAATCTGACTCCGAGCTCGTCTACACCCTCCGCGATGTTGAACTTCCTCTGTGAGTAGGATAGCGGATCACGTAGGAAAGTGGCTACGGATCTCGAGCAGGCTGGCAATCAGGAGGACTCCGCGATGGAGGAGCAGCCGGACAGTCACGTGGAGGTCACAGTTCGAGAACATTGCCATGGGTTGGGAGTGAACAGAAGGTGAAGCCGTGCGGACGTTTTTGTAGGATGCGCCATGACAGTCAGGAGGGGGCGTCCCCGGGGAACACGGGAGCTCTGAGGTGTGTCCCACAGACTCGGGGGAAGGATGCAGGGCGGGGCGTGGCGAGGGCGGAAGGCGGGTCTCGTGGAAGAGTTGACAGGATCGGGGCGGGGACCGCGAGCTAGTCTGGAGGGGGTACGGTGGCTCCCTTCTGTGGGGGGGGTGGAGGGAGCGGACAGAGGGAGCAGAGCGCTCACGGTAGGGACGGGGGCGGGCGATGGGTCGAGGAGGGCTTCTGGTGGCTCGCTGCCGTTCGGGGATGGCTTGAGTTGGCACCGAGAGGGAAGAATGGCATCGGGGGAACGAAATGCTCAGCTCGTGTGTCCCACAGACTCGGGGGAAGGATGCAGGGCGGTGCGTGGTGAGCGCAGAAGGCGGGTCTCGTGGAAGAGCTGACAGGATCGGGGCTCGCTGCCATTCGGGGACGGCTTGAGTTGGCACAGAGAGGGAAGAATGGCATCGGGGGAACGAAACGCTGAGCTCAGTTTACCGAGAAGACGGTGGAGCCGGCAGCTCAGACAGGGGCGGGCAGAGGAGAGCCAGGCTTCGAAGGCGCCAGCACTTTGCCTGGGAGGATGCCATGTGGCAGGAGGCGATGTCCGGGGGGGCCGCTGGGGGGTCCACAGTGCGGCCTGGCTCTCGGGGTCACTGACGTCCAGGCGGCCACCAGAGCAGATGATTTCCCAGAGGAAGGGCTGCCAGGTGCGTCTGCGTGAGGGTGCGTGACGGGCGGCGGTGGGCAAGGCCACGGGGACCGCCCAGGGGGACAGAGCAGCGGAGAGGGTGAAACCACTGAACGTCAACGGCAACCATTTTGCGTGATGTCTTAGAAAAATAATTCGCTGAAATCGTTTCTCCTTTCCCGTGAACGTGTTTTGGGTGACAAGTTTTCAGACATCCATTTCCCAAGGGAAATTCGATGGTGGAGGAAGAAACCAAAGTCACTCATCCCCCGGACCTTGGGAAAGCGCACGCAGCAGAGGCGCCGCGGTCCGGCTGGCTGCCGGCTCCGCCCTCTGTCCCGTGATCAGAAGCATCCGAGCCTGTTCTGAGGGAAGAAACGTAAACACAACCGATAGGGAGCACGAATAAAAGAAAGGCTTTCTCTCTCTACGGAATGGACTCTTTCGATGAGATGCAGCTTCGCAGAGCCTCTCGCGATGAGGCCTTGCACGAGTGAACCCTTGAAGTTCGCAGCCTTTGAAAGCTCGTGCCCTTCATTCCTGAGCTTCCTGGGGCTCCGGGCGGAGGGACCGTTTCGTGGAAGAGAATGTTTAGGTTGCTACATCGGTTCGTCTTCCTCCCGCTTCTCCGTTTTTAAAGAGAGGCACGTGAGTCATGATCGCACTTGGGTTTTTAATGGACAGTCCGTGACACTGATGCTCGCTGTCTTCTCTGGAAGCTTCCTTCGCGGGCTTCCCCAGCCTGCCCAGCATCTCGGGTTTTCTCTGTCTCTCTCGCTCCTGTTTGAATCTTTCTAACGAGCGATTCAGTGTTCGGGATATTTTATTATACTTCTCATCCATTTATGCCTTTTTCTCCCATCTCTGCCTGGCAATACAGACCGAAAATTGAAAATAGATAGTTCTCTGGTCTTTTAATCTTCTTACCATTGCCCTTAAGAGGTTATTTTAATTTGGTCTTCCTTTTTCTCATGGGTTCCACTCAGAAGATACCCACAGAGCTGATTTTCAGGGTCATTTACTCTATTTAAAGAAGTATGCGAAGAGATAAGTCTAGACGTTTGCTTGGGAAAGGCATAACCAGGGAATTAATTGAAATGGCTGTTCCCAGATGGATTTAAAAAATAGAACTTCAACCAGGAAAGAGCATGTGTCTTTACTTTGCATAGTGATTACATCTGTTGCTATTCTGAACGTCTGAGTTGACGGCAATCAAATTGGACTTATAACTTTGGAGCGGAAAGATGTACCCCGTACTCAGACGATTTCAATGCCGTGTTTAGGGAGAGACAGACCGCACATGAAATCGTGCCTTAAGATTCGATCGCCCCAATATCCAGACGCCTCCCCTGTTCCAGATGCTTCAGCTTAGATCTGCTTTCTTCAGCCTGCGTGTCCCCCGCCAACTGTGTTCGGAAAGAGGCTTTTAAATGCTGGTCGCTGAACGCTGACTCACGCAGGCCACCCTGTCTCAGAACCTACACAGGGAGAGGCAAGGAAGCAAAATACGATTCTCAAGGGTCTCAGGGGGATATTCGAGACCTGGGGATTACGGGATTTTGGAAGCACTGTTTTTATTTTGTTAGGTGCTTCCGAAAGCCTCGCTTCCCCTTGCAATAAGTCCTCAGTGTACTGGCCACCCTCTGAAGCCGAACTGCGCAGAGGGGACAGCAGCCTGCCCACTGCAGCCCCGGAGTCAGCCTCTCCACTCACTGAGGATGCGCTGTGGAATTTGCCGTAATTTACAAAAACCTCCCAAAGCACATGGGTCGCCCTGTCCCGCTGGATCTGGCTGACTGCCTGCCAGCCCCTGACGGCCCTGGCGTCCTCGTTAGTTCTGTGCTACATTTGGCCGAGCTGGAGATCCATGTCCCTGATTTAATCACAAACCAGGTGGCTATAGAGTTGGCACCCAGCCTCAGGCTGTCCTGTAAACATGTGCAAATGATGAAAACAAAATAAACAAGTTATGCAAATTAACCTCCCAAGTAAATAAAAGGTTTTGCCCCCAGGTTAACTCCTTTGGCCCGTTGATGTTTGCTAGAGTTGCCCAGTGATACGTAAAAAACTCAATGTCATGTGTTTGTCTCAATGCTTTCTTCGTTTCTTTCTGTTTCAGATCTATCAACACTCCTATACTGCATATTATGTCCTGAGCAAAATTCCTCATGGGTAAGAGTGTTTTTCCGTTTTCTTTTAATGAGAAATTTGCAGAACAAAGCCAAGGGCAGAAAACTGTGACTCGTTGCTTAATTCTTCGGGATTAAGGGCAGGAAGTGGGGTACCTTGACTTTTTTTGACAGCAAAGCGCCCCGATGGTGTGGGACCTCTGTGACTCCTCCCTCGGTAACTACACCCAGAATCAAGGGGTCACGTGAGCTCAGCCCTTGCCATTTGCGATGCCCGCTTCCTAGGCCAACTCTGCCCACCCGCTGCTCTGGTCCTGTGATCATCACCATGGCCGATTATCAGCTGCAGGAATGGAGGCCCAGCCCTGGGTCTCCAGGAAAGTCTCCTGGTTCCTTATATAATCGAGAGGGTGGCACCCCTGAGTTTGTCGGTCTCTCAAAAACACATGATTGGGGACCCAAAAGTTGAGGGGGGAGGAAGGAGAGGAGAGCAAGCGTCGTTTTGGAAGGTTTTCAGTGCCTGGCAGACATACCCCCACGCGGCACGGGGCTGGTCATCAGGAGCTCCTCCGAGGAGCCAGAGGTCGGAAGACGTGGCCAGTTCGGTGAAGCCGCTTGCCGAGTGAGATGCACAAAAGCACCATTTCGGAGCTAGGCAGGAGGGGCACAGATGACCTGCTGCTCTTCCCTTCTGTCCGCCTCCGCCTCCTTGTCCCTCCCGCTCCCCTCCTTGTCCCTCCTGCGTGTCCCCCACCCCGCCCTGCTCCTTCCCCCCCTCCTGGATTGTTTCTTTCACCCTATTTCGTATATCTAAGAGGCGAGGGGCTCAGGAAGTATTCGAAGTACTGGGATTGGGCTGCTGGCGGTGTCATGTAGGTTCCCGTGAATATTTAGGGAGACATCCCCTAATTTTTCCAGGCAAATCTGAATGAAGCACAGAACTTGCCGACCAGTATTGTCCCAAAGGACAGCGGTGATCACAGCGTGGGTGGCCACAGCTGCCGCCGTCTGTTTTCTGCTAGGCTTAGATAGAACATGGGCGTGTCCTCAAAAAGCACAGGAAATAATATCATTTGGACTAAAGACAAATGAAAAATGCATGTATATATGCAGCAAAATGTGGTTAATGGTTTTTGTTGGATTATGAGGAAGATCAAGCCCAAAGGAAGCAAAGATGACCCACTGTAGTAAACACAAAGTGCCCACGGGCATTTTTTCATTTCAAGCGTATTTCAAATAGAAACTCAAGCTTTTTTTTTTTTTGCTAAAGAGGAATCATTCTGTTATTTTTCAAGCAGATCTGCAGCTTCAAAGGTCACAGCAGGCAGAGAATGATTATGTCTGGAGATTTATCGACTCCTTCTGGGAACAATAGAATTTACTGTAGATGATGGCTGTTTCATTCCATCTTATCTAAATTTGTAAAACTCCAAACTCTAAAGCGTTTTATGCTTAACACATTGTGTTAATATTTTACCGGGCCCGTCAGAGCTTAGGAGAAATAGATTCCAAGAAACTGGCTCAAGAGTTTGCCAGACCGGCTGCAACCCTGAGAACAAGGCGGTCTGTGGTGACGACGGTTTCAGCGTCACCACCGTAATCCGCCAGCGTCACCACCGTAATCCGCCATCGCTGATGCCAACAGATAACGAGCCACTTTGGGGGATTTCTAAAATAATCGTAGTAACAATCGATGCCATCAGTCACTGACTTTCATGCACCTTTACTCAGCCCAACAGCCCTGCAAGAAAAGCATCCTTATCCCCAGTCCCCAGTGAGAGCCCCAAGCGGGTAAGTCACTGCTGGACCCGTCACAGTTAGCCAGCATGCAGCAGAGCCGGAATCCCAGCCCAGCCTGGCTGACTCAGACCCCGTGCTCTCCAACAGCCTCCTGAGGTTACACTGTAGCCATAAATATCAGATTCTAGCGCTGCTGAATTGTTTCTTTTCTAAGGACTCACATGATCGAAAGATGTGGCTAGTTACTTGTTACATTCACTGGAAACACTGCCTGGCGGGTGAGGAAGTCGGTGGCCCACCCCGTCACCCTGTAAACTGACACAGCATCTCCAAAAAGGGCATTGCCCGACCTCCCGACTCTTCCTCTGTGTCATGAGATCGTTTATGGAAGATGCATCATTTAATTAATTTCAAATACAGTCAGAAACCTTAGTCCTATTAATGAGGCAGTGGGCTTCCGAGCTAATGAGCCTTTAAGCCTCAAGTTTCCACAACTCCAGCCTCCGAAAGGAGTTTGCTGACCTCTCCAAGTCAGGTGTGCGAGGGCGCCCCCAGATGGCAGGAGGTGGACCCTGCCACGTTTTGAGGCTTACGCGGCAGAGGTTACAGGTGTAGAGGAAAGCACAATTGTCCTTTTAAAATAAAAAGTCTATTAAAATATTTTAATTTACATTACTCACAGTATAAAAAAAACCGGGGAGCTCTTCTTGGTACTTCTGAAGACATAGATCTATACCTTTTCCATAAATTTCATCACTAAATTCTTCCCATCAGGCCAGAGGCAGTTCAGTCTGCAGTATGAGATGATTTGTCATTTATAACTTGATTTTTTTCTTAGCTCCCGGCTTTGCAACCAGTCACAGAGAAGGGCCAAATTGAATTTTCAATGCCCTGTGAATTCTGGTTTTCTTCCCTTCTGCCAGGGGCGGAGAGAATTGGGGACGGTGTACGTGTATTCACTGTCTCCCATGAGCCAGAGGAGGCACTCGCCGTCCCAGGCATTGGCTTCTCCTGCTCCAGTTTGACCTCTGTAGCTGGAGCCGGGCAGAATCCTTTTTTGCAGTTAATGAGAATCCCAAGACAGTGGAATTTCCATCAAGTCAAAGATGTGGTGCCTAAGGGTAGGTTTGTTTGACTTTCGGATACTAAATTTTTCAGAAATGATATTCTTGGAGGACATATTTCTTTTACACAGATTTGTTTATCAAAGCAGAACCAAAGCTAGTTATTTTTAACATAAAATGTTGCACTAAGATTTTATATCCGAATTTCAACAAAATAAAGCAATCTTCCACCATAAAGATCAGGGCCAGCTTCATGTTCTCTATAGGGGTGTTTTAGACACTTGGCTGTTCTTGACATATTCATGACATGACTATTTTTTTTCTTGAATTCATTGCCCTCTTACTTTGAGCCCTTTTTAAAAAAAAAAGTTATGTTTAAAAAAGAAATATATAGCCTCACACTCACTGAGATTATTCTAAAAGTCACAGGGGCTAGAGAAAATCAACTCTTTCCATAACAGAAATCAATCTGGGGGGAAATGTGGCGTGCCCCTCATTAGGTAGCGTTTGTATGCTGGGGTTTAACAAACAGAGTAATAATAGAACAGAAACAGAGTAGGTTCAGGGGGGTATTTTTGTTTACACGCCAGGCCGTCCTCTGGGGCCATTTTTGCCCTAATTTTGCTTGTTGACCAGTATCGTTCAGGCACCAAACAAAACTGCATAAGGTCATATTTCTTTGGAATTCCGGTTGACTCCAGAAGTTACACTCTGCATCCGTGGAAATAATAAACGGAGACATAGATTCCTCCCGCCTGCGTTTCTCCCTAACTTTATAGGCCGGGCTGCTGAGCTGCGTGCAGTAGATACCTAGGTGGATGACATTCTCACAACGCCCAGCGCCTTGCCCATCGTGATGCAGGAGTAAAGAACCGAAGTCCTGTAGTTGCACAGACCTGACTTTGAATCCCCAGTGTGCCCCTGACTTTGGCTGTGACCTTCAGATCACCTTTTGAAAGAGGTTAATGGTGCCCACCTTCTAGGTACATTATAAGAATTAAGTGGAATGATATATACAAAAGACAGCAGAGAATTTTGCTTCTAGGGAACTCTTGGGAGTGTTATTTTTATTAACATTGGACTGTGTACCCACTACATAGATGTGGTCTCCTGATTAAATATGACCGGAGTTTACGTTCTAGCCAGCTCAAATCCTTTCTTACAAAGAAAGCAATGATATGCCCCTGTCTAATAAAATTCCTTTTCATCATTTTCCAAAACTAAGGCTTGTTCTACGATACTCAGATAATTATAATGCACATGTGATTTTTTTAATTTCTCGCCAAAGAGATGTCTGTAGCCTCAACTATCCACAGTTCTCAGTAGTCAGTACGTCTTTTATCTCATCCTGACCTGCTGCAATAAGTTTTTAAGGCATTCTTGTTTTGCGTCCCACAGAAGCAGACAAAACAATAGAAGTCGACAGATATTTCTTGAAATGCTGTATTGAACGGCAAAAGCAACGGTTGCATCCTTCAGAAGTTCGAAATCATATTGAAAAGTAAAGGCAGAGGCTCAATAACAATCTATAATTTAGTGCCCCAAGTGAGCATCTTAAACACCGAACACAAAAGGAGAGGGGGTGGTAGGCACCGGGGGTGTCACGAAGGGTCTCAAAATGAAGTCGGGTGAACTGAGCCTCAGAGTTGAGGACGTGTTGTGTTGTGTTGTGTTGTGTTGTGTTGTGTTGTGTTTTTAATAGATGAAGACAGACAGGAGGTATTCCAGGCTGAGTAAATCTTTTAAACGGGCTTGGCTTCTGCGATGAGCCAGCAGCTTCCCGGAACCAGTGGGGTGCCGGGCCGGAGCAGGGGTGTTCCCAGGGGCTCTGCGTGGGCAGAGATAGTTGTTGGGTGCGTTTGGGGAGCGCCTGCGTGTGGAGGGCCTCACGCCACCCAGTGATGGTCTTCAGAGCAAGAACACACTGACGCTTCGGGCAGAGAGAGGCCTGAGGAAGATGGGGGGCTTCACTGAGGTTCACACTTGTGTATGGGGTCGCGTGGAGGAAAGGTGAGGGGCGCGGAATCATCGAGGGGGCCGGGCGGTGGGTAACGAAGGCGTGGGGTGTGGGGCACTCTGTCACTGCAGGAACCTCACTGACTGTGACGAGGGGTAGCTGGCGTCCTTGTGGAAAATGAAGACAGATTTCCAGTGTTTATTTTCCGTGTGCCTCTAATTAAATCTTTGGCGGCCTGTGTCCTGCTGTGCGGTGAGCCGGCGCATGAGAAGACTCACAGGA